AAGCTTGTAACGATTCTCACAAGTTAACACCATTTTGCTAATAATTTAACAGAGAGATCTTTAATTATCCCTTGTTGAAGGTTCACTGGAATTTCTAGAATTTCCTTTGGTAAAGTTCAATTATTTTCAATACTCCGGTTATATCCTAAAGTATTTTTGTTCCAAATTTCGTGAAATTCTAATGAGTGGTTCTCGAGAAATAGGCGTAGTTTCGAGAGTGTAATTTTTCATTCAATCGCAATTTTTTGATTTACTACACATGCGCTGCATTTAACTCGGTTCTTTAGGTAAGAAATAAAAAGCTGAGAATTTCTGGGTTCTTTGCATCGTTTACCTTTTCTAACATATCTTTGTAATAAAAGACTAAAGCCATCAATACACTGCGTTCAGTTATAGAGAAAAATAGCACAGATAGTGCGGGTGTTAAGTAAATAAAATGATCGCTCTATTGATGGCATGTTTGTTTTTTGTAATCCTTGTGCGCGAGCTGAATTGCATCAGCAAAAGTGCGCGCGAAAACTGTGTTCGGCCACCTTAATATATTGATTGACTGATTGATTTATACAAGTGAATTTTTAGTTCTGAATTTTAAGTTGCATGATCATTGCTAGACTGGTATAGATTAGGCAGTGAAATAGCATTGCTGTACTTGTAAATCATGATCACTATTTTTTCTCTTTAGAGGGTCAACTAACATCCTTACAAGCCTATCAGACTCTACGGAATTGTGGCACAGACTTGATCTTTGAAAGTCCAAAAAGACGAATTGAGTTAGCACATTATTTTTGGGACAGAATTCTTGAGTTAGGTAACTATGAAAAAACAGTTGTTTCTAATCACTGTTTATACTCTGTGTTCATGTAAATGTTATTTGTTATGTTACTTGTAATGGTCCCAGGGGTAGGGAATCCCATATAAAATGGACAGGGCTGCTCATTGTTCCTCTCAGGGGTAAAATAAGGTGGCTTTGGTACAATGTACCTCTTTGGGTGTGTAGCCTCTAAAGGTCCAAAATGGGAGCTTTTACGGTACCATTTAGGGTATTGACCCCAAAGAAATATGACAGCAGATAATATGTTGTTTTAGAATTGGTACTTCTTAGGGGTTTGTGTTTTTGTTTGTTTCTTGCTGTAATATATATATATGTCTGGATTTATGAAAATGGTGTTAAAGACTGAATCAAGTGTTTTTTGATTTATTTGTTTTTTTGATTTTTTTTTTCCTGCTTTCGCTATGACAACAGCTTGTAAATCTTACCTAGCATGAAATGTAGAAACTCCTTGCCACATGTTTCATTTATTTAGGTATTTTTTTNCTGCGGCGAATCAAATGATCAATTTAAGCGCTAATTTAGCTTTGTTTGGCTCGTTCGACTCATTTGTAGCAACTTCAAAGGCTTCTATAGGCATGGTCTGGACTCTATTAAGAGTACACAAGGTAGATAGCACTCTCGGTATGACATGGCCATATTTATGTACATTTTCTAACTGATTTTCCAAAAACGTGCGCATTATTTTGGTGCAAAGTCTTTAACACGGTTTTCATAAATTCAGACATATATATATCTGCATGAAAATTGTCCCCTACATGTATTACATTGCCAAGCATTTGTAAGTTTCATCATGTTGGCTAGGTTTAGAGTCATCAGATTATTTGTGTATACAAATTACATGTCCGGTATACAAATTACATGTCCGGCCAAAAATAATAGAGATCTGAGTGAACACATTATGAAGACACATTTTAGTGAGTTGACAGTGTTCATGTAATACAATACACCTATTTCTTGATTTTCCTTTTCTGCTTCGATACAGGTATTCAACCCGATGTTACACTGTACAATGGTCTTTTGTCTGTGTACATTCAGAACAATTACAAATTTAATCCTCTCGAGGTTCTGGAGCAAATGCAGGAGAAGAAGGTGGAGCCTAACAGGGTAAGGTGAACCTTCATGTTAGGACTTTGTGTTGATGTATCATTTAATCTGACATCAAAGCTCCATTTGAAGAAAGTTAAAAAGCAGTGCTTTTTACTGGACATACATTTTACTCTAACCTGTCATCCACGGACTTAAACGTGATGTAAATTAAGCCACCTTGTGCAGCACAATAAACAGTACCATGTGAAAGCACTGCTCAATACTGTGTCTTTCATTTAAATGGTAACACTTAGGATTTCCTTCACAGAATTAAAAGTTAGAACCACCTTGTACATCATAATAAACAGTGCCACATGAAAGTACTGCTCAATAGCTTTCATTTAAATGGCCACACACAGGATTTCCTTTACAGACTCTAAAGTTAGAACCACCTTGTGCATCATAATAAACAGTGCCACATGAAAGTACTGCTCATGATCAATAGCTTTCATATAAATGGCCATGCACTAGGGTTTCCGTCACATATTTAAAAGTTAGAACCACCTTGTCCAGGATAATAAACAGTACCACATGAAAGTACTGCTCAGCGTCTTTCATTGAAATGGCTATGCACTAGGGTTTCCATGACAGATTTAAAAGGTAGAACCACCTTACACAGCAGAATAAATAGCACCGCATGAAAGTATTTGAATGGTCACACACTAAGATTCACAGACTTAAAAGTTAGAGCCACCTTGTACCACAGTGAGAGTAGCCCTGGCAAGAACCACTAGTGCCTTTGAATGGTCACACTAGAGTTTCATCTATGAAACCTAACAGTCTTTTACTCAACATGGCTAAACAGATCACACACTATTTAACTTCAGAATTTTGCTAAAATGCACTGGCTTGTTTTGGTTGTTTTTTCCTACAAATACCTGTATCTAAAACAAAAATAAAAATACCGTAAATCATTGAATTAGTGCCCAAGGTGCTTATTTCAAATTTAGGAGAAGACGGGGGACATTTATTCAACTTAATCGAGGAGGGAGCTCATTTAATTTTTCCAAAATCATGGTCAGATACGATCAGGTTTTTTTTTTATAATAATTATATACATGTATGTGTCAGTCCCTCAGAGGTCTATCAGAAGGATCTTGTCTCTCTTAAAGAACTATGTAATATAACCCCTTTGGCCAATCTAGGCATGCTGCATGAGGTTGGCTTGGCTTTAGCCAATTAATCATCAGATCTTCACTACCATCCATTGCGATGGTCATTTCGCGGTGCTTGAATGAGTCAACGGTCACTTGCTCATAATTGGTCATGACCAAAACTATACATCCTTTATTGTCCCAGCACTCTTCCATAAAACAAGGAGAGGAGAGGGGATGCTTATTCGAGGGGAGGCGCGGTTTTTTAGATTTTACTTAATAGGAGGGGCGCTTATTCGAAGGGGGTGCTTATTTTAGGGTAGGTGCTAATTCAAGGATAAACCTAGAAAGCAACTAAAGCATTCAGTTGTATGCATGCACTGCATTTTACAACATATACTGTACATGTAACACACTGCTTTGTTTTAAAAAGAGAAATTGTGGCTTAATTGTGGCATCAAACAAAATAATAAAAATATGATCAATGTAGATGTACATGTATTTGCACCACATTTGTTTCTTATTATTTTCATGTGGGTGCTTCCTTGAAACAACAGGAAAGGAAAACTGTGTTCAGCCACCTTAATGGAATGTGACGCTGCTACAGGGCTCTGTACAATAATTGTTATACTTGTTATGCTTATAATAAAACTTTGTGTTATTTTGTACAGAAAGCTGTAAGTGTATAATATTTCTCTGTTTCTTATAGACAACATTGTTACTGCTGATGCAGGGATATGCTGAACAAGGAGATGTTGCAGGAGCATTGTAAGTGTTCTTCAAAACTCTTGGCTTAAATGGCACTTACGAAAGTGCTACTGACTTTTTCATTCAAAAGAAGTTGTCAAAAGACTTTTTTAATTTCAACATTTGTTATACAACGTAGATCCAGTTAAGAGCCAGTGCCCATAACTATGGACCAAACAACGGCACAAGTCGAAAAATCGACTTTGCTCATTTTTTGCCCATAGATTGGCCCTAGCTAGTAAACAAACGGACCATAGTTAGTTTCTGCTAATGCAGCTTTTTTGGGGAGAAATTTGCGAAAAACGATTTTGCCCGGATTGAGCTCAAAATCTACTTCCTGTTATG